TATAAAAGCGTAATTTTATACATATATAATACATAACTTCAAGTCTAAATTTTAATAGTCTAACTTTGAACCTCAATATTTTGTTTCATAATTTTAGTTTACCTTTTTCCAATCTTGCTAAATTATTATGCAAATTCGAAGTTTATCATTAATTTAACCATCTTTTTTTATCCGTAGTTACTGTTTTTATATAAGTTGGCGTTTATGAAAGAATTTTGCAAATAGTAGAAATTATTCCAAGATTAATCAACAACCATTAAAAAATTAAAAATCGAAACACTTAAACAATAGCACTTATAACTTAATACCGTAATGGAACATCAACTGGTAGAAATTGAGGAGTTTAATTTAATATCCAAACTTTCGTTAATCAAGTCATTAGACAAGGTACATTTCCATGGATTTTGTGTGATAAATGAATCTGTATTAATTGAATCTGATGTAAAACTAAAACCATCATATAATCGAAGCCAAGGAAATAGACTCATATATACAATATCGTTTGGATACATGTGTTATTTGGACAGAGGTTGTATAATCACACCTCCGATTATTGGCTATGAACTTATAGCAAATAATGTAACTAAAAAGAGGGTCCCATTATGTTCACCTATGAAATTCCAATCCTATATTTATATAGGTAAAAGCTCTCTAATCAATTGCATTGAAATCGGGTCTTATGTACTAATATATAATAATGTTACATTAGGCCGTGGCAGCAAGATCGGGAACTGCGTAGTAATCGATGAACAAGTGACCATTCCTGATAAAACCATCATTCCTTCATATTCCTTCGTTTTTAAGACATTAAAAAAAGCTGGTGAAGGTTTTAAGATTGTTACACTGCCAATTGGAATAAAGAAATAAATAAAAGAACAATTTAAAAGAAGATATTTAGGATTGCCTATAAACATAAGTGATATAAATATATATTATTCAAATACCGGCTCTTATTTATAACGTGCGTCATTGTTAAGAAAAATGCCCACCGTAAAACGAAGGAAAAAAAACTAACATTGGTATCTTTCACCAAATAATTATATTGACATTTTATATATAGTTTGCATTAAATGAAATCATTCCAAACCTAACCAACATTTTTATTAGCTGTCGCTAGCGTTTATCATAAATATATTCACTAATAGGTAGGTTTTCATTTTTAAGTATTCCTATCGCCTACAATTATTATGCTTTGAATCAATGCCGAAAAATTTTTTGGGAATAAAAATATTCTTGAGATGATGGGAAGTGATGATGAGATGACTTAAAAAATGTATATTTCTATAAATTTACAATATAACACTTTTAGTAAACTTAAGATATCACAAGTATCCATTTAACCTGTGTGAAATAAACAAGGCGATCATATTACGAAAATGAGAGTCAGAAAGAAGCAATCCAAGAGAACTTCTACCCGTATGAAAGAGGGTATCAAGAAGAAGGCAGCTGCTCAAAATAGAAAAGAAAGAAAGTTAGCTAAAAAGGATGTGACTTGGAAGTCCAGAGGAAAAAAGGATCCTGGTATTCCAGCTAACTTCCCTTACAAAAACAAAATTATTGAAGAGATTGAAGCTAAGAAGATGAAGGATTTAGAAGAAAAAGAACTTGCTAAACAACAGAGGTTAGAAGCTAAGAAATTGGCACTGGAGCAAGGTGAAACGATTATGGAAGATGGTATGGAGGAGGATGACGGTCAGAATGGGTTGGCAGCTTTGGTTGCATCTGCTCAAGAAGCAGCATCTAAGTATGATGGACACAGTAATTTCGACGAACCTGAAGAAGAGTTGGACGTTGTTGATTATAACATTGATTTTTATAATGACAATGATGAAGGTAATACTGAATTGGAGAAGTCAAGAAAGGCTTATGATAAGATATTTAAAACAGTTGTGGATGCATCTGATGTTATTCTTTATGTTTTGGACGCTAGAGATCCAGAAGGAACTAGATCTAGAAGAGTTGAACAAGCCGTTTTACAAAGTCAAGGTAAAAGATTGATTTTGATTTTAAATAAAGTTGATTTGATTCCTCCTCATGTATTAGAACAGTGGCTAAATGTCTTGAAGTCTAGTTTCCCAACT